ATATGTTCTGTGGATACAAGGATCCAGCTTGGTGCCACATTATTCCCGCATTTCGTCGATCGGCAAATAGTTGGACGACTTTATCGAATGTGGCCTTTACTAGTGCTGTGATAGGCAATGTGCGGCATCCCTTTAAGACATTGTTAAAACTTTCAGAAAGGTTTGTCGTCAAAATGCCATATCTTTTGCTATCGTCATAGCTCAGGGCCCACATCTCAACAGGAATCTCATTCAAATATAGAAAAGCACTCTCATTTATGCCTCGTATTTGTTCCATACAGTCGTGAAATTCCTGTTCTGTGGGAGTGCTACAAGCTTGCCAACATAATTTTTTCAATTCCGCGTTCCTAAACTTGGTCATGAAATTACTCCGTATGTGACGGAGGCAATAACGCTTTGAAACTTGTGGCGTCTCAACTCTGGCAAGGCTCTAAATGCATTTTCAATTCCTGCATGACGATCAAAGATAATGCACACACTACGGTGATCTCCAACCACATCACGCATAACCCTTGCAAAGAACCACGACCAGCTGTCAGCATTCTCACTCTCAACAACAGCATATGCAAGAGGAAATATCTCACGATTAGCATTCATGGCTACCGCAACTAGAAGCTTTGAATGACCAGAACACTCGGCGGAATTCAGACGTATCAGGAGTGTCGGCCTGTTGTGATTGAAAATGAACAACAGTCCCCGGATTTGAAAACTGTATAGCTTCCAACAACATAGGAAGTTCATTATATGACGCCTCCCAATTGCCGAATTTACGCTCTAGAGCGATCAAGCGTCCATTCCAAGCTTTTTTATATGAAACACAGATATTAAAATTTTCATATATGTCTGACATTATCAGTTTAATGATGTAGTCCGGGTCGACTTTCACTTTTGGAGCGATTTCACTGGCTATAGTTTTGGCCATTAGGAGCCTGTCATCCCGAGCCATGACAGGATCCTCCCTACAACTGTGATAGGGTTGATATTTTTTTACTTTCCACTTTTTGACGTCATACCTTCTCCTGCTTGGATATGCCAAGTGCAAAGGGTCGGGTCTATGCAAACCGCCTTCCAGGACCGTGGCCTTTTGTCAACCGTTCTGAATTGACGAAATTGATGAATGTTTTCTCTCGCCACCGCTTCTTTCAGTGCATCATATGAACAATAAACTGCGCCTACTTCGATCCTTTCAGGCTCAGAATCTACTGCTTGAAAATATGGTTCTTCTAGCTCCACATTAGCCCAGGTGGTGTCTACTACCTCGTCACTATCATCGCTCGTGGATGAATCGACATCACTACTAAAACCTTGTTCATAGTCTGGGTCATCCGACTCTTCACCCAAGTTTGTGACTGTACAAAGTAGATACATTCATAAATTTCAATATTATTATTTGGGACAAATTATTAATTTAACACAATTCTTGAATTTCTAGAATTGAACACAATTCCTTGTAAACACACTGTCTAAAATAAAATAAAATTATGGTTTGAATTTTTTGGTTTTAATTTATCCGTATATATAAAATTTTTAAGTTTATTTGAAGTATAAAATATTTTTGTGCTCTGGTCGGATTTGGGTGTTCCGACAGGAGATTTGAAATTTTAATTTTTTTTTTTAAATTCCACTTTCGTTAGATTGTGATGCCTGCGGTTATTTCATTTATTTGAACCGTTGATAGAATGTGTTTCTTTACTGTAATTAGATAGAAGTATTGAATTTGTGCAGATGGGACGGACAGATAAAAAATTGAATTCTATCTCACTTTTTTGTGTGAGATTGAATTTGTGACACTTTTTTTTTGTCAAATTGAATTTGTGTCATTTTATTTTTGTACAGAACAGAATATTGAATGATTAAATTATATCTTATGATAGTTATCTTATTATATATCCTGGGTCGTGGATGAATCCACATCACTTCTAAAACCTTGTTCATAGTCTGAATCGTCCGACTCTTCACCCAAGTTTGTGACTGTACAAACTAGATACATTCATAAATTTCAATATTATTATCTGGGACAAATTATTAATTTAACACAATTCTTGAATTTCTAGAGTTGAACACATATCCTTGTAACATACTATCCAAAATAAAATAAAATTATGGTTTGAATTTTTTGGTTTTAATTTATCCGATATATAAAATTTTTAAGTTTACTTGAATCATAAAAACTTTTTGTGCTCTGGTCGGATTTGGGTGTTCCGACAGGAGATAAAATTTTAAAATTTTTTAAAATTCCACTTCCACTTCCGGTTATTTCATTTATTTGAACTAGAATGTGTTTCTTTAGTATAATTAGGTAGAAGTATTGAATTTGTGCAGATGTGACGGACAGATAAAAAATTGAATTCTATCTCACTTCTTTTATATAAAATTTTATTATAGTTGTTGGATAAAATTTTATCTGATTAAATTTATCAGATTATATTTATTTGATTAAATTTGATTTTATTGAACTTATCTGATTAAATTTTTTCTGATTAAATTTACGACTGTACATAATTAGACTCTTCATCCGACTCTTCATCTGATTTTATCTAATTTTATATATTTTGAATACATAAGTAGACTATTCATCGGACTCTTCACATATAATTAATTAGATACGCGTAATATTATTTAATATATCACAACGATTTGGTAATTACAATGCATTTACAAATATTTTTTAGATTACACCACGTTGATTATGATTCTACTATTATCAAATTAGCCGCAATATATTATACTAGAGATAATATATATTTTTATTATAGCCTAAGTATATAATACACTAAGTAATACATATATTACTAATATCAGTGATATATACTCATTATGTTATAATATTTAAGATAGCAACTATCAATTATAGCCAAATTTTACTCTGAAATTCCTATTTAACAATCTAAATTAAAAAATTTACAAATTACTAAATTAACTACTTCTACTCTCTTAAAATGACAACAAATAAAACCAAATCATTGTAAATTCTATTTAACTTGAACAACACATACCAGGAGATTCGTAGTTCTGAAACGTTTGGCGGTTGTTCCTCCGACCATATACGGATGATGGGCCTTCCTCTCTGGGAGTTCCGTGGAACGTCAAAGTTTGTGGCGGGGTCACTGAAGCTTCCACGTAAATGTGCAACTCCTCATACTCATTTTTAGCGATCCGGAAAAAATGACGCCATGTCTGCTCATCGTGAATGAGCCATAGTCTAGAAGCAACATATAGAGAATTCTTATATTTTGGTAATTTTCCGTAAATTAATTTAATTTCGGGAAATCCGTCGCCTCTAACATGATTTAGAACATTCTCATGTATAGTAGTATAATCATCTCCTTCACTAATGAATAGTACCGCCCTAGGAGGTATGGAGTGTTGGGTGTGTTTCGGAAAATAAAGATAATTAATTAAAATAAATTAATTAGATAAAATGACTAGAGAAAAACAAGAAAGGAGATGAAGCAGAATTAGTCAAAGCTCGTGCTACGCACGATTTCCTTAAAACGTATTTGTTGCCTCCCACGGTGCTAGGAACGTTGCAACAATCGTTTCCCAGGATACGATGACTACGAACTAATGTTTGAGCACACAAACAAGAGTTCCAGCGAACGAGAACCTAGTATGAACACAGAAGGAATTTTGCAGAGTAGCTGAAGGTGTTTTTAGCTCAAGAAATTCGTGAGGAAAGTATTGTGCGTTGTGTCAAACCGTGTGTTTGTTGCAAAGCACCTGCCAGCTATTTATAGGATGATTTGTTGTGTGTTAAATGGACCTGAACGGCACCCCCCCCCCCCTGCGCGTAAAGTGTTAAACGGCATTCGTGTCCGCAGGTCGCCCGCGCACACGAGTCGCGGTTTTTCTTCTCCGTTTCGGGATTTGATCGGCACCCCCCCCCCCCCCTGCGCGTAAGAGAGAGCCTTTCCCTCTAGGAATCTTAACTCCTTAAAAGAGGCTTCCATTTATAAGGGGGTGAAAATCCCTTGAGTTTTTCGGTGTGGGATAAAACACACTAGAAACTCACCATTTTCCCAGTTTTTCCATTTCAACGAGTGAACTTCGAGAATCAATTTCTCATTCACCCGTTATCCGTTTTGAGTGTACCACATATCGAATTGTAGCCCTTAACAAGGAAAATCCGAAACCACTTTGACCCGACCAAAATCGGAAGTGGATCCCACTCAAATAACTGCCCCAAAATGATCATTTAATGCAATTTTTAACACATTTTTCCAACATGGAGTACTCTATTTCATCATCTTTTTGAGATGTAGAGCCATTCCAATGAACCATAACAACAATATTTCCCTCACTAGACATTTTTATATGAGAGGAGAATGCCTAAACAGAAAATGTAATAAATATATCAAGAGAGAAAGAAGAGTTATTTTTTGGAGTGAAAATTTTGAAAAGAAATGAACTCATTTTATAGGAGCTATTGGGGTACGGTGACCATATAAATCCAGTTGGTAGAATAAAGGAATACAAATAAAACACGTAGTGGAAACAATAAAATTAAAACAAAACTCCTGGTCGGATTTCCAAATTCTGACGGAGTATTAATTAATTTAAAACCCCTCCTCCTGTCGGATTACACAATTCCGACTAGGGTTTGGAACCCTAATTTCAAACCCCTCCTACTGTCGGAAGTGGTGAATCCGACCTTCGTATTTTGGTAACCTAAAGCCAATTCCCGTATTTTGGACTGTCAGAACTAAAAGTCCCGCTTTTTGGTAAAAAACTTGCGAGTCAAGCCACTGTGAGTCTGATCATAGTGACACGGTGGCTCCGAAAATAGTGACACCGTCACAATGACCTGCCACTGCCGATCACCACCAGCCACCAGACCTCCCACTGCGGGCCACTGCCACCCCCAAGCCGCCCCTCTCTGGTGGCCTGCCTCACCAGCCCCCCTGTCCAGCCCCCACCCCTGTCACGTCACGCCCACTGCCCCACCACACACCACTGTTGCCGCCCACTGCCCCACCACACACCACTGTTGCCGCCCCCATCGTCCTTCCTCGCCGTCGCCCTAATCCTGAGGGCCGTTGTGATCTGTCACCAACAGATCTGAAGATTACGAGCGTCGTTCCCAATTCACAACCTCCGCCCTTATCCTTCTGTTTTCCCTACTCCTGCCCCAACGACTTCCCCGACAACTGGATATCAGATTTGTCCATTCCAATGAAACTCATAAACATAGGTGAAAAGACAGAAGAAGGAGAAGAAGATTAAAAGATTAAGAGAGTATTTGAAGCAGCGGAAAGGTGACGATGACAGCCATATCAGAGCAAGTAGTGGTGGTGCGTCCCTAAGCAGTGGTGGAGGTGACCGGTGCGTGGAGGAGGTGGCGACCGGTGTGTCACTGCAAGCCACCGGCGAAGGAGAACGACCTGGAGCGAAGGTAGGTCTCCTGGAGCGCCCGCAGGTCTGAAGAAGACGATCGGGAGACGCAGGTGTGAAGAAGGAGGACGATCAGGAGTTGAGTTTGGGACATAGGGTTTAAAGTTAAGAATTTCCCGGACCACCTATTAATTATATACCTTTTATACCCTTCTTACTCAAAAAACTCTATCCCCAAATCAATTGAGGCTTTTATGTTCTTTGTCGATGAAACTTTCCAGTGCCGCTTCACCGTGTTTGTTCGCCGCCCAGTTCGATGTCCAACGCCGCTTCTTTCTTCGGTTTTGTTCCCCTCCACTGCCTCCGTCTCTCTTCGCCGAATTCGCCTCCACGGTCGACGGAGCAGGTAATTCTCCCCTCTTCTTCTTCTCCTCTCCTTCTTCTTCTCCTTCTTCTCCTTCTTCTATTCTCCTTCTCCTTCTTCTTTTGCACTCCTCTTCATTCTCGTCCCTCCTCTGTTTTCATCTTCTGATTTTTTATTTCAAACAATGATTTTATTTCATTTTTTCAAATACTAAGTTGAACAATTATATTTTAGATCTGAAAAACTGAGTGATGGAGTATATGGCCCGGGAACACCCGGCCCACAGACTCCTACTACTCCAGTAAAGGCCCAACAGGCCCAGAAGGCCCAACAGGCCCAAATCACAGCGCCCAGAGTACCAAGCAGCCCGCAAGGCGCACCAGGGGTGCCTTTGGCCCCCTGGCCGAAGGCTCTAAACTCTCACAGAACGGGTTTTTCAAGCAAACTAAGAAACTGGGAGGAAAACGGCAGAAAACAGTAGCCCTCGGCACCTGGAGCCCTCGGCACTAAGAACTCTCGGCTGGTCCTCTGCAGCCGAGGGCACCTCTCCCGACATGATATCCGCATCACATGCGTACAGATCACCGTACCCTGTACAGATGTCCCATCCAACAGCCGCATTAAATGCGGACACATGCGGCTGCCAGCGCCAACCAGTTGAGGTGACCTCTCGGCCAATGGGCGCTTGACGCGTGTCCCTGTCCGGCATTTATTGCTACTAATAATAGCACCACATTTCCCCATTTGTAACCACGCTGAAAACGCTCCACACTTATAATATACTTTCTCTCTCTACATTTACTTGCTCTGGCTTCTCTCTTGTTACTCCCCGTAATAACCCCTCGGATAAGCTACCCCCCGGGTACACTATCCATCATTTGGTGCTCTCGTTGAGAGGTCGAACAATCGAGTAAGAAACCCTCCCCCTTCGCCAAACACTAGCCCTCTACTAAAATGGTGAGAACAACACGTGCCAACTCCAAAAACGTGGAAGACAAGAACCTGGCCCTCGGCGACGTCAACGCCCCCGAAGCCTCTCACAGGGCTCCCGAGGGCGATGTCATCGCTGGGCTGGAACAGGCGGCTGTCGACCTACGCCTTCAGATCCAACAGAATGCCCCCGATGCCTGCCTCGGCATCGAGGCCAAGAAGAAAAACCGAAGCGATGACCAAGTCAGCCCTCCGGTTCTCACCATCGACGTTCATTCGGCGCTCTCCGCCTTCATCCAGACGCTCACTCAGAACCCAAGTGCCTTCGGCACCCTGGCTCCGGCTCAACCCCAGGTTGGGGAGAACATCATACTTCCCCCTCTGCCACACCCCTTCGGAAACCCCATCCCTCGGGTTAGGAACGACGAAGGGGTAGTGGCCCAAGATACGGCCTCCCAGGAAGTTCAGTCCCGGGACCACCACAATGACAACAGGGAAAGGCCCTGCACCTCCGCCCTCAACTGTCTCGGAGGAGGGCCAGACCGCCGAGGGGTCCAGGACCGCCTCGGAGGGAAAGCACTCCAAAGGCCCCAGGAAAGCGGAGGGTCTGTCTCGAGGGCAGATGAGGAGCGTCCCCCTCGGGATAAAGGCAAGGCACCCCTTCATGCCGATGATGCTCGCCACCAAATCAACCAGGCCCACTCGGCCCGGGTTCGTTCGCAGGGGGCGGAGACCCTCCCGAAGGATCCCCGGGACAAAATTATTGCGGCCCTCCAACGCCGGCTTGACGAAATGGAGGCCAACAAAGCTCACGCCACCACCTCCACCCCTCATTCAGACCTCAAATACGAGGCCATGATGGCCAAAATGGAGGAATTACAGAAGAAGGTAGCCGAGGGCTCCGGGGAACCCGTCATCCAGCTCCGGACTCGGACGCCATTTACCCCAAGGGTATTGGCGGCCCGGATCCCGGAAAAATACCGAGGGCAACACATACAACCTTACAACGGGAAGACGGACCCCCAGGAACACTACAGCAAATACCAGAACAGCATGATGATGGTAGGGGCGTCAGACGAATATTTGTGTCGTTGGTTCCTCTCCACCCTAGAGGGGCCGACATACGAATGGTTCAACCGGCTGCCCGAGGGCTGCATTGATTCATGGCAAGAACTCGCCCAACGATTCTTGACACAATTTGTCGGGAGGCGTCGCACGAGGAAGCACTTCTCCCACCTCCTAACCATACGCCAGAGGAGGGATGAGACCCTTCGGGACTTCCTGGAACGTTGGAGAACGGAAGCCGACAAAGTCGACGGTGCTGACGACGGGACCCTGCTGGCCCTCCTAAAAACTGTCCTCCGCACCGGTAACTTTTCAAGGAGCCTCATCATTTAACCCCCCCCCCCCCCCCCCCCCCCGCGACTACATAAGGGCCCTGCAGCGGGGGGACCGATACGCTAAGGCCGAGGAGGTGGAGAAATACCACCAGCATCCAGATCAGCAACCTCCGAGGGCTGACAACAAGAATAACCGGGGGCCGAGGGCTCCTCCAAATCACCCCAAGGCTTCAGGACCCTCTGATGACCGCCCTCGGCAAGGCCAAGCCAAGCCCGGGGGAGGTTATAAGAGCAGCCCCAAGACTTGGGCACAGCCCATTCTCCTGGACCGCCCCCGGACACCATTGACGCACCCCGTCAGCATCATCCTTGATTTTGCCGAGGAGAGGGGCCTCGTTGAGCGTGATTCTCGCGCACCCCCGGAGGTACATGCTATCAACCCTCAGTTTCCATACTGTCGTTTCCATCGGCATCAGGGGCACAGGACCGATGACTGCCACCAGCTAAAAACGGCCATCGAGAGATTGATACAAGCGGGGCACCTGTCCCAATTTGTTCAGAGCCCTCGGCAGGAGGGACCTTCTCATCAGGGACCTCCCCGAGGGCACCACACGAAGGTGAACGCTTGGGTGAACCCGAACACCATCCCCCTCGGCAAGAAGAGGGAGATCGAAAACTTGGAGGAGGAAGAGGAGGAGTACCCCCACTACTAGGAGAAAAAACGCCACATCCTCATGATCACCGGCGGCAATACAGGGGGCGATTCCACCAGCCAGCAGAAGAAGTGGGCTCAATCGCTTTACGTGGGGGAAGTCACTCATATGCCCCCGGTAAAGCGACTGAGGGAGGAACCCATCACCTTCACCAACGCAGATCTCCCTCCTACTTCTTCTCCTCACAGGGATGCCTTGGTGATTCGGACTGAAATAAACGACACCATCATTCACCGAACTTACATTGACACGGGCAGCTCCGTCAATGTAATGTACCTCAGCACCTTCAGAGAGCTGCATCTGGAGAGGGGGTCCCTTCGGCCCATTAAGACCCCTCTTGCCGGCTTCACCGGCGATACTATTGATTCCGAGGGGGTAATAACCCTCCCGGTGATCTTCGGCGACGGGCTCCATAGAGCCCAGCTCGAAGTGGAGTTCGTCATCGTCAACATCGACTGCGCCCACAACATCATCCTCGGCCGCCCAGCCCTCGAGGACCTCGAGGCCATCATCTCCATTAGGCACCTCTGCCTCAAGTTTCCCGCCGAGGGGGGCATTGGCTACTCCCGGGGGAATCAGAAAATCACCCGCGCCTGCTATCTTCAAGTCACTAAGAAGGTAAGTAAGACAGAATTCCGTGTTGACACCATCACCGGAACCATCGACCAAGAAGAAAAAAGGCCGAGGGCTGAACCAGCCGAGGACGTAGAAGACTTTAAACTCGATCCGGCCAAGCCGGAGAGAGTCGTGAAGATTGGAGCCCAGCTCCCTGAAGATCTGAAGACCGGTATCACCGACGCCCTCCGCGCCTACTCCACTGTCTTTGCATGGGGGCCGGAGGACATGCCGGGAATCAGCCGAAGGGTCATCACCCACCGCCTCTCGGTGGACCCCTCGGCAAAAGCAATACAACAACGAAGAAGACCCCTCTCCGCCGAAAGGAGGGAATTTGTGAAGAAGGAGGTCGCCATGTTCCTCTCTATTAAGCACATCAAGGAGGTGAAATATCCCTCATGGCTGGCAAACGTAGTCCTCGCACAGAAGCCTCCTACCTTACGCATGTGCGTGGACTACACAGATCTCAACAAGGCGTGCCCTATGGACCCTTTTCCTTTGCCCAATATCGATCAACTTGTAGATGAAACCGCGGGGTGTGAAATCATGTCATTCCTCGACGCATTCCGCGGGTATCATCAGATCTTCATGCATGAGGAAGACGCCGAAAAGACAGCCTTCATGACTCCCGATGGCATCTTCTGCTACCTAGTAATGGCCTTCGGCCTAAAGAACTCAGGGGCCACTTACACCCGGATGGTGGCCCGAGTCTTTCAAGCCGTCCTAGGGCGCACCATGGAGGCCTATGTTGACGACATGATCGTCAAGAGCAAGCAATCTTCCAGCCATGCTGACGACCTCCGGGAAATCTTCGCCATCATGCAGAAGTTCAACCTTCGGCTAAACCCGAAGAAGTGCACCTTCGGCGTCCAAGGGGGCAAATTCTTAGGCTACATGGTGAGCCGAAGGGGTATTGAGGCCAACCCCGAGAAGATCCAGGTCATCATCAATGTGAAGGAAGTTCAACGGTTGATGGGCCGCCTGGCAGCCCTCAACCGCTTTCTATCTAAATCAGCGGAGAAGTCTCTACCCTTCTTCCAGATCATGAGGAAGACGGCTGGCTTCCTATGGACTCCAGAATGCCAGGGGGCTTTCGACGAGCTCAAACGGTATCTATCTTCACCCCCTGTGCTCTCAAAGCCAAAGGTAGGGGAGACCCTCTATCTCTACCTTGGGGTCAGCTCGGCGGCCATCAGCTCCGTGCTCATCCGGGAGGAAGACGGCATCCAACATGCCATCTTCTATGTAAGCAAAACCCTAAGGGAGGCCGAGCACAGGTACTCTCCTGTGGAGAAAACGGTGTTAGCCATCGTTTGGACCGTCAAGAAGTTGGGCCACTACTTTCAGGCTCACCCGGTTCAGGTCCTCACTCATCAACCCCTTGGCGCCCTCATGAGGAGCCCCACCAGCTCCTCCCGCATGGTGAAATGGGCTATCTTCTTGA